ACAGATGTATTTCCAGCGAACTACAATCTATTTACCTTCAAGAGGAGGATCCATCGATATTTGTCCTTCCTTAGTGCTCGCAGTTCAACCACGGGATTATAGGTCCAATCTTTTGCGAGCACTTCCGAATAACAAAGAAAAAATTCTCTTTTTCCTAACCATATTATCAATGACAAACACTTATTTGATCCTAATTCTAACATAAAAATTTCACATATCTGTGACATATAGGAAAAACTATTAACCTTCTCGAAACTCTGGAAATTAATAAAGCTGTCAAAAACTCTAACCTCAACTGCCTCAATGAACAAACTCAATTCGATAGTCTTAAATCATTCAACGCCTTGTTATTTTAGATACAATTTTGTTCTGTGTTCTATATGTCACTTCAAATCAGAACATTCCTTGATTTTGCCTTGACTAGTGTCATTCTGATGTTGTGTTTTGTCCTCAGCGTCATTGTTATCAATTGCCATTTGTCGATTGTCATTTGTAAATAGTTAACCTAATTCAACAAATTCAGGCCCACATGTTGGTTCAATTTAATATTTGATTTATATCATATCATTTTCGAGAACTAAGCTCGTAGAGCTGTTATCATGGTTCCCTAAAAATCGTTTCTTCATGTTTTTCAATAAGTAATCTTTTTCCACCAATAATGGTAGGTACATTCAGATTTTTAATCAATACTCAGAAACTAACATAGGAGTTGTTACTTCTTACAGATTTTCTTTTTATAAATTCGCTGATGATGACGGATTAATCCTTCGAAACATGTCCTGTAAGTTATGAATCACCTACGTTGGTTGATATAATGAATATTTACGAAACCAAAACATTACTGTCTTCATTCTGTTTGAATACTCCGTAGTAATATCTTGTGAATTCCTCTCATAACTTAAAAAACTAAAGAAAATATTCGTATCAGTGCCAGAATGAGTCATTTCTATATTCTTGTAAGTATAACTGATCTAGTATAACAATTATCATTTATCTGATCGTATATGAGGAATATCCAGAAAAAAATCGTATGGAAACTTCCATTGTAATACTAGTGAAAGTTCTTCACGAATTAATTTCTTTGTTATATTAATGACCAAAATTATCGTTCATTTTGTGTTGTATTTTCATCGATTCAAATTGATAGAAAATCAAATATGATTCGCTATAAATTTAGTCCAGTCTGTTTTCAACAATTTCCCATACGATTCTCCTAGTTGATTCCGAATCTACAATCTGATTAATGTTAATTGTTACACTGAGTCAGTTAAAATTACAAGAACATAAAAAAGAGTCATTCCGATTCTGATACGAATTTATTCTTCAGGTTTTTTAGGTTATGACAGAGTGACTTATAAAATTTATATACGAAGTAATCGAAGAGAATAACGAAAAATATGTCTTGGTTGGATGATATTTTTTTCGACAATTTTTGAAGAACGGAATGACTGAACTAGTTCCAAAAACTTATTCAACGTTCCTATGATATTTTGTCCGTAGATTTGTGATCTGATCTCAATTTTTTTTCGATGACTATTATACGGGGTGAGTTATTCTTACATTAACCCAGTATAGGAAGAAAGCAATATTCCGGCCTTGATATTGGTTTCGTTCAAAAGGCTACTTGATGAAGCATTATTTCATTCATGTGCACAATTTGAATTCAATCGGATACTGTATTTTATATGGCGGATTGAATTTTTTGTCAAAATCCCCCAATCACTCTGTCAGTAACGAATCGGTTTCAAACATTTTCATAGGGCTTTTGAGCATTGAGCATTGGCAGTCCTTGAAACTTCATGAGTTTTGTCGGTTCCATCGCTGCCCTGTATATATCACATCTAATTAGTGAAATTATTTATCTTCCGTTTCAGAATTCTACTGAACCTATTCGAAGAGCCATTTACTTACAGAAAGTGAAGCCTTTAGGCAAGAAAGAGAATTTCATGACCATGGAAGAAGGTGTAAGGAAGATGAGGGAAGGACTTTTCGCTTTTCATATGGAAACAGGACCTGGTTACAAATTAGTTGGTCAGTTCAGCTCTAGCTGTCCATCCATTCTGCAATCACCCAATCTTCAAAAAAAAAGTTGAACATTTCGATTTTGTGATTTCGTCGCCCAGGAATAATAAGGTTCTATCTGCCTTTCCTACCAAAATTGAAATTTTGGTGTATTAATGTTCTATCTGATGAATTCTTCATTTTGAGAGGTCAACTATCACAATCTGTTGGAATTTAAATGAGTTAGTCATAATGCACAGTTCTATCTACAGAATGTTTCTCTCTTTTTTTGGTTTATGATGATCCTATATCTACACCCAGATAGAACTTTGTGTCATCAAACCTATACATATACCCCTTGTTATCCCAGTTCATCAACATTGAACATTCACAGTCATAGAGAGAAATACATGAATTGAAAAAAAAAATTCACTCTTATTTTTATCAAGAACTTGAATGCAGTGAATAACAGAAGCCATACTGCATCCTAGTAGCTGGAAGTTACCGATTTCAGAGATTTCGAAAGTTCTATCAAGAAACTTCAATACAAAAATATGTCTTTCTTTCAAGTTGCTGCATTGGAAGAAGGTGAACGCATTTGAAAAAATGAATGCTGCATGAACGAGACTGGCAAAACTATTTGGCTGCATTCCTGAAGGATCTAAGTTGAATCAGTCATTTCGTACTTCTCCATTTCGATAATTCGAAATATACTTTTGGAAAAATCTACGTGCCGCAGTTTTTTTCAACATATTACTATATTATTACTACTCATACACGAATACTTATACTCATATACATCGATTCCGAAGTGAATCTGATGGCACTTAAAACATTCCAAATCAGTTTTCTCGTATTATTTCATGTTAGAAAGTTTTATTTCATTGTATATTTGTCAGTAAGAACCTTGTTTAATCACTACAATAGAAACTCCTTCTGAAACAAAGTTCTTTCTACATTTAAGATGTTCAAATCACCATTTATCTGAGGAAAGAGGAAGGAAAAAAATCAACTGATAAAAACTTCAACTCATTTAAATATCCTTGATCAGAACAAAGAATCTGATCGATTGAAATGGAACGAAATTGATGGAGTCAAAAGTTCGCAGCGTGATTCTGAGCGACTATCATTAGTCCAGATAGTACATTATTATTCTAGGGCAACGATTTAGTTAACAAATGATTTCTATCAATCATCCTGTTCATAGTGCTTATTCAATAGTATCATCACTATTCCATATTCTAATTCTTTATTCATGACTCGGCTTGCGAATATTTCTCGAGGATAAAAGTAATCATCAGTAATAATGGATGCCTAGTTTCGATATAAGTTCCACACCACTTTAATAATTCATCTATCAATTTCAGGAGAAATTTTTCGCGAGAGTGAAAAATGTGGGCTGAAAGAAATCCAATATTTGCAAGTGAGCGATCCTTGGTTAGCTATACAGAAAAATTCATCCTATAAAGAATTTCTCAAAATAGGGTAAGCAATCTGTTTAGAAATCCTTGAAACCTGTTTGAATCGGCTATTTCTCTCTTCAGCTTAAGGAAGATACAAGAAAGTGGTTTGCAATATAGAGAAGTCAGTTTGATATACACCAAGAAACCTGCTTGTACTTCGAGGGGCTCTAGTTTCATTAGTGTTGGTTTGGTCGACTGTTATCCAGCAGCGGTAGTTTTAGTTGGTGGCTTGATATCAGCTTCATTAGTTTGGTTTCTGGAACTAGCAATATATCACAGGTAGATTCTTCCCTCATAACACAATTATGTCCCATGGATATCCTTAGGACGTCCTGTCGGGACATTCAGGACGTCCATAGGACGTTCGAATTTGGTACCGTGGACGTCTTTTGTGGGACGCACAAATGTCCCACTTGAGGACCAACTAGGGACGTCCTTGAGGGGTGTCCCTGGGACAATTTTCGAATACCTAAATCCTACAGTATTCCTCATCAAGCACTACGGAGGACATTCTTAGGACATCCGTAGGACAACCTATTGGCAACGCCGAGGGATATCAATATGATGTCCATAGGATGTCCCAGGGACATACGAATTATTATTGAATTAAAATTTTCCTGGGTCCCTCTAGGACCAAATCTTGCATAACTGATAAGGACATCCAGTTGTGTTGATGGTCCGTAGAAGGTCCCCAAAAGATCCTGAAAAAGTTTCCCAAGGATATCCAATGAACTTCGCAGGGACAACATATTGAAAGTACTGACTGGGACGTCCGTAGGACGTTATTTCTAGGACATTGGAAGAGTACAGTTTATGTACCAATTGGGACATCCGATGAATATCCCTAAGAGACATTCGAAGAATGTCCCGAAGGGACATTTTGATTGTTATACGATCAGGAACATTTCATGGTTGTCGAGAAGGGACGTTATATAAGATCTGAAGTCATGCCGGAATATGAACTACTCGGGACATCCCTAAAGGAACGTTTGAAATCATATCTCATCAGGGACATGCCAAGGACATCCGTACATGAAAATTCTACAATATGTACCACACGGTACGTCTAAGGGACGCTATTTCTAGGACATTTGAAATGATGTACCGGCTGGGACATTCCGTGGAAGTCCTTGCTCGGACATTGCATGAGATGTACGGGATTGGACATCCCAAGGACACCTATTTTTGGTCCGAGACATTCGGACTTGAGTTGTACCAAATAGGGACTTCCCTAGGACGTTGTGGACTATTTGGGTTATAATTGATGAAAGAGGTTAATTTCATCTCTTATACATCTGATATTTCGACGGCAACAAAGCATTTTCATAAGAATATTTTGTGTTTCAGAAAAAAAATTTCGTTTATGGACGTGCGAAGAAGAATGGGAAATATCATTGAACACAATGAAAATACCATCCTCAGTGGATTTCCATATTTGAACTGAAAATAGTATCAGTCATCGAGGATGTTACGCATAACAACATGCACTATCAACGAGCTTATCATGCACTGGAATTTATTTAGTTACAAACTAGACAGTAGAAATTGCATTTAATAATTTTCCATCAATATAGTTTGATTGAATTGAAGTAAGTTATTTCAAATCTCGATACATTCATCCACTAGACATTTTGTTCTTATGACGTTTTGATAGAAGCCAACAGATTTCTTTGCAGTTCGTGTTCTGTTAGGACTGTTGAAATCAACATGGTATAGGCCAAATTTGTTCCTGAAACAAAGTTAATATAAATTATCACTATTAATGTTATGTGCGGGGTATTCAGAGAGCGATCTAAATTGTATCGGCACTGTAATCAACTTCCTCATCAAAACTCTAGAGTATATTTCGGCGTCAAACAGTGAAATCCGTAATTTCCTGAAATGCCTATAGTCATTTCACATATTGTCGGCAAATACCGTTACTCTAAATTTTGTACACCGTTTGCCAAATAGTTATAGGCATACCCTGTAATGGCGAAAGGAAGGTTCATTTAGGGCGAGGCAGGTTAGGTTTTTTAGAAACAGTTGTCTATCTTGTTTTATCAAGTAAGTTTTCGAAAAATATTCTTTCTAGGAAGAAGGTTCATCTAGGCCGAGTTTGGTTAGATTTTGTTTAGGAAAAGTAGCCTCCTCCTTAATGTTTATGCAGAAAGGATATTTTCCATTCTCAACCTTATGGTAAACAGAGTGGCTAGCTGTTTGACAGCAATATGTGAAATGACTAGGCGATTCAGGGAATGACGTATTTCACTAATAGGCGCCGACATATTCACCAAGTTTTACACATGTTACACATCGCAACCTGTTTTAACCGAATATTGCGTTATTTTTTCATTATTCTCGGTAACTATGAGAAATAGAAAGTCGGTTGAATTACGAAAGTTTCAGCAATCACAATCTTTATTTAGAATGCATGGAATGGAAAATTGTTTCACAAAAATCATCGAAACACATCGATTTTTAACTGAAGGGGTACACCATTCGACACGATAATCCCTACTTTAACCTCCTACTCCCCAGAGCAACACCCTCGATAACTTGAATAGGGCATAGGGGTCGTGTTATACATCATTGCAAACATCATCCAATTCTGACACTAGCAGTGCAAAGTGTTTTGAATTGCAACAAGTCGTTCTCGAGATATTCGAGTTCAAATATTATGTTTTCAGTAAATCAAGGTATACGATATGGATTATCGAATAGCTTTGCTATTGCTTGCCATTAAATCATCATCCTTCTTTCCGAACCGTCCGTATCAGTAGGTTCTGATAATAACGGATTCTGAATGACTCCAGAGGACAAAAACCATTCGTTGGGTGCCAAGTCCGGTGAGTATGCTGGCCACTCATTTGGTCCTATACGACCTATCCATTTGTTTTGGAAATTTTGGGATCGCAATTCTTTCATGGAACAATTGCACATATCAATTTATTGTTTTAAATTCACTTTTCATAAATTCAGGTAGGTCATGTCACGAAACTCTCGTGTATCGAAATATATTTATGTTACTGAGACATCTACAAAAACTAGAATCGATCTCAGATTATTTCAGTTTCTGTGGGGTCATAGAGCTAAAAATACATTCTCATTTTCAGTCCTGTTAAATACATTTTTAACTAAATTCCAAGAAGAAAATTCCAAAATGATTGAAAAGCATATATGTACAGGGTGTTTCATAGGTAAAGGGAAATATTTCAATGGTACATAGGGGCCACCGAGGTGGTTCTGAAAATACCATATTTGATAGGTTTCAGAGTCTTCATAACGGAGATACAGGGCGATTTATCGATTTCGAATAATTATTCATTCGTCTATAAGTATTGAACTACCAAGTATATTTTTCCGAAATTTGGTATGGAGCTTATACTTGGGAAGTTGAATTCATTCACCTATCGGATGGAGTGAAAATCCAGGTTCGGCTTCAGGAAAAATTTGAAATTTACATTCATTCGAAATATTAAAATAACACACTGTATGTAATAATTGACAGAGTTCATCAAAGGAATCGTGAAGAGGAGGAAAAACTGAACTGGATTTGATGCTTTTTGTTTTCCCGCCACCAATTCTCATCGTAACAATCATAAACAGAAAACTAAAAGTATGTCAATTTGAAGAGTAGTGAAATTATGAAACCACTTTCAATTATGATTATTTGATATATTCTCGTTAAATGATCGTTCGAAAGAACTTACTCAGTCTCACAATCTTTATAAAAGAGATACAGGGTGAATTATCGGTTTCGAATAATTATTCACTCGTCCATATAAGTATTAAACTACCCATCGCAGTAATATTTTTTCAAATTTGGTATTGAGCTTACTTGGGACGATGGATTCATTGACCTATCAGGCAGAATGGAAATACAGGTTCAGCTCCAGGAAAAGTCTCATAGTCTTTATAACAGAGATACAGGGTGAATTATCGAATTATAATTATTTGGTATTATTTCCATTCCGCCTGATAGGTTAATGAATCCATCGTCTCAAGTAAGCTACATACCTACCAAATTTGAGAAAATGTTACTGGGTAGTTTAAGACTTATAGATACTGATGTGAGACTTAGTGAGTTCTTTCGAGCGATTTTCTGACTGAAATATCAAATAATCATGATTGGCACTGGTTTCATAATCCCAATACTCTTCAAATTGAAATACTTTCAACTTTCTGTTTATGATTGTTACGATGAGAATTGGTGGCGGGAAAACAAAAAGCATCATACACAATTCAGTTTTTCCTCCTCTTCACAATTCTTCTGATGTACTGTGTCAATTATTGAATACAGTGTGTTATTTTAATATTTCGAATAAATGTCAATTTTTCCTGAAGCCAAACCTGGATTTTCACTCCGCCCGATAGGTGAATAAATTTAACGTCCCAAGTATAAGCTCCTTACCGAATTTGAGAAAAATATACTGGGTAGGTCAATACATATAGACGAATGAATAATTATTCGAAATCGATAAATCGCCCTGTATCTCCGTTATGAAGACTCTAAGACCTATCAAATATGGTATTTTCAGAACCACCTTGGTGACCCCTATCTACCATTGGAATATTTCCCTTTACCTATGAAACACCCTGTATATGCAATTTAAGTGAGCAGATAATAGAAACGATAAAAAACATATTGAGAAAGATGGCGAGGCAGTCTGCGGCAGTCATGTGATAGTCTTTGTAAGGTGATGTGGGATTTTCCCGTATACAGCGTCCCCCCGCAAGCGTTCGCCCTGAGCCATGGCCTTGGTTGGCCTTATGGGTAATCCGGGCCTGCTGAAAGCTATGGCCTGTTTCATCAGAAATATTCGAAACACATTATGTATAATATTTGATCAAATTGGAAACCTCAAGTTATCGAATGACGTGACCCATCTTACGATCCTTTAATCTCAATTTTGATCTCCACGACCAATAAGGAATACGCATGATTTTTTGTTTAATCAAAATTATATTCCTTTTTCCTTATAATAACATTGGATATCATTGAATCATCTCAAATTCGCTTGTGACTCTGAAAAATTTCATTTAAATGAGGCTGAAGTCACAGGAAAACGGGTTAGTGGCCATCACTAATATTATGACGTCAAAGTATTAGGCCGCACAGCCATAGACTAGCGCGACAGAATGACAAGATTCAGATTGAAAAAAAAAAGAAGAAGAAGAGGAAGGAGGAGAAAACAGTTTTAAACGCCAGAAATTTGAAATTTGAAAATGGAAAATGATAATGTTTATACCAAATACTCTTTAGTGCCGCAATGCCTTTCATCAACAAAAGTATCACCAGGAAAAATATTCCTTTCATTGCCAGTGGGATCGAGTGATGAAAATAAAGAGAAAAGAAAGTTATGGTTGCAAAGCCATAAATAGAAATGATTCATCCGAGAAAACCAGAGGATTTGTTTCTGAAGACCATTTCGAAGTGAGTATACGTTCAAGTATGTCCTAGTAAAACCCATCATATATCAATGATCATGTTCCTCATGTTATTAGGAGAATAATATAATATGTGATTTCGTTTTCAGCTTGAAAAAGATATGGAAAACTATATGAGATATAAATTGATAGGTGGTAATATATATTTGAAACAACATGCAAAAAGAAGTCCTATTTGATCAATCTCATTGTAGATATTTGCTTATTATTTAGTTATTATTATTCAGAATATTGATATCATATAATTGAGATAGATTATAGAAACTACAAGCTCAGATAATCATAACCTCACTTCCTCTTCTTATATTATTTTCAATCTTTCGGACATGAATGTTTGACATGACAAATAAAAACTGCCACATCCAATCGGAAATCATCGCTGCAGTTCGGCTGTTGGTCAAAAAGTTGCAAATATTATGATTTTCAATCAGAAATCATTAAATGTTCGGTGCTTAATAATGTTTTTCGGATGTATAATTCGACATCTATACATATGAGTAATGGAACAAAAATATATTCCAGTGTAAAATTTTCACACGCCTATACCCTATTCTCACCTTGACGGACCAGAAGGCCACATGACACGAGAATAACCCTGACTTACTGTTTCGGTGGTGCGGTTTGGTGGACAATAAATAATGTTTGCCCTCATCCAATTGAAGTAATAATACTTACGTGAATCCATACACCCATTCAAGATTGTCCAATAAACTCCATACTGTATAACCAAATACATTCACTCCATCTTCAACCATGGCATCCCTCACACCACTGAGATATCCCTGTAAAAACAGATATATCAATTGATGCAAGAGATAAACAAAATATGTTTTTCTTGCAACCGACTCGAATGTTGCCCATTTCAATACCATAATTAGCTCTTGATTTCACGTTTTTATTACTGAAAATATAGGTATATTCTTTGGAAGAAGTCCATGGTAACTCAAAGTGGAGTGGTGTAGTTCATAGATGAAAAACCCAAAGTCATCTCCACAACTTTTATTGAAATGATCAAAGATCATCAATGGTACATGTTTCGGGCTTATATAAGCCCATCATCAGCCGATAAAATAGTTCAAAGTTATGGAAGTGAAAAAAGTTGGAATTCAAATAACGTGGAAAATAACAGAGCAAACAAAGGCAACTGCTCCATGATTGTTAATGTAAAATTGTGTTTTTATAAAAAGTATGAAAATTAATTTTAAAATTCTTATGAAATGATCATTCAAGGGTCGGGTTCATATTTTATAAGGGCCCACGTGCCCTTAAATCACCGAGAAGTGGCGATTATCCAAGAAAATATCAAACTAATGAAAAGTATGATGTGGCTTCGGGAATAACCAGCTAAATGGGAGCTATAATTGAAACAAAGTATAGGCATCGTCCACCAATATTTTAATGTGAAGTTGTCTGAGGTCTTGCTTCTATCTACTTTCCTATATTATTATAATAAAAGTATTATAATAATCTGTCAAGTATGTCACATTGGTGGTTTCTTCACATATTTATTTTAGTTGATTCTCTCGGTTGCAGAAAAAATAGCATGTTTCATTCGGATCAACAGTGGCTTTGCTTGACTCGCAAATCTTGCATTCGCTCGCTACGCTCGGCTATGAACCATCAGCCGCGGCAGTCAGTCAACTACTTTGCTGCCTAGTAAAACAAATAACTATCCTCCTCAATTTTGGTAACCCAATCATGATCCAATATTTACTATCTGAATCATGGTTATACAGAGAAACTGATACGTATTGCTGAGACATTGAGCTTTGCATAGAGTTGGCCCTGGCTTTGCTTAACCTGTACAATATATTGTGACATTTGGATGAGAATATATAATTTGAATTTTGTATTCATTTGACTTCCTAGTCCTGTGAGAATAAAAATCTAATTTCACATTCGAGGCACTAAAGAGAACGATAAATATTTTCGAATAATGATTGGTTGCATCATTATCGGGTTGCCTGAACAATCTTTTTGCCTCACTCGTCGTTCACAGAAGATTCCTTCCAGGTCGTCACATTGAGTTCAGTGTCATATGTTAACAAAATGTTATATGTTGCGAAGGCATGTAAAAACATTGTATCTCATCGAACGGCACCTGTGCCAATCAATATCCTGAACAAATTGACTGAAAAATCGCACTTTGCATTGCGGTAATTTTGTCTCATTTTATTCGCGATTTGATAACGAGATGAGAATTTTGCCATCCGATACCAAATTCACGGCACAGCAATTGATTTGCTTCCATTATTCCGGACATACTCCCGTCATGTGATAACGAGTTGGAACAGGACGCATATGAAAGGGGATAATCTTTCCTTTGCGAATATCCAATATCCGAAGTTAGTGGAAGAGCGTCAATATTTACGATTATTTCATTCATCTGAAAATTCACGCTTTTGATTGGTTGTAACAGCTGTATTGATAATCGAAAACACTATGTTATCGATTTTGTATTTCGGCACCTGATTGGCTACTTACTGTTTGAGTTTTTGTAGCAAGACAGCAGGATATAAATGCTGTCATAATATATTCGTGTTCAGGGAATAAAAACACTACACTTCTATCCAAAACCCAATAGGCACTATCACAATTTGAATTGTCCTCACAATTATTATAAGACGATTCCAAATAATTATTGATTGAGCATGATTCGCATGATATAACCTAAAATAGGAATAATTTGTCAACCACGACTGACGTGACATCTTTACATCTCTCTCTTCTCACTCCCTATGATGTACGCTGCTTTATCCATTCAACGCTTCAATGTATTGTTAGTTGCATAACATCCCTAGTACCTTCGATCGCGAGTGAAGAGGAAGAGTGAATGCGGGATCACGATTGCGGGAAACTCAATTGAGAAGGCTGTGGCCAGTTGTGAAGGAATCAAAGAAAACAAAACTGTTTATATGTTGATAAATATCGTTACTAGGTGTGGTGTATAGCTTGAAAATGGACAGTGAAAATCGTTTCGGTAAATATAGTGTAGAAGAAATAAGAAATGAAGTCAAAGACTTAACGCCTCAAAATACCGTGCGTTCCAAAAAGTATGTTTGGAAACAATTCACAGAATTTTGTGAACAGCGAAATCATCAGCTAAACGAAAATACATCTGATGAAAGACTTGCCAATATTCTCACAGAATGGGCATTTAATATGCGGAAACCCGATGGCAGTGAGTATAAGGACATGGTAGTGAAAACTATTTGGAATAATACAACTAAATTACTCCAAGAAAAATACTATCATGAATACAATCGAAAATTTGATCCATTCAAAAATATAACATTTGAAGTTGCTAGAAATGCCAAAAATACTAAAAGAAAACAACTACAAAATATTCCGGAAAAACGAAAGAAGTCATGTGTTTCATTTACATCGGAAGAATTGACACAAATTATCCAAAGTCGGGATGAAAATACTCCAAATAGATTACAAAGGAAACTGTATCATATTATTGCAGTGGAATTAGCTTGGCGGGGCGGTGAAGCATGCCGATGTTTGATTCATTATTTCAAGGAAGAAATAAATAAGACTGGAATATAACCCTATATTCGCGAAAACCGCACAAGGTGGATCAAAAAATATTGCAGAAAGTAAATGGCTTGTGTCAAATAAAGAAAATCAAGAAAATTGTCCAGTTCGTTTATTCAAGAAATTGATGTCAAAAAGGGGAGAGAACATTAAAACTGATCGACTATTTTTGACAGTTAATGGCAATTGGAATAAAGATCATAAAAGTCCTTGGTTTGAAAATATGCCAATGGGTATAAATGAAATAAGTAAATGGACCAAATTGTCAGCTGAAAAGATCGGTTTAGATACAAAAAACGTGAAAATATCAAACCATTCAAACAGATCTACAGCTGTGAGTCAATTGGCAAGTTCTGGAATTGGGGAACAACAGATAATAGAAGTTACTGGGCACAGTAGTTCAATGTCATTGAAACCATATTTACAACTGAGCAAAGAACATCATGCTGATATAATATCAAACCTCAGAAAAGACGATAATATGGATATATCCACGACGGTTGCATCTAGTAGCAGTAATGATGAATGTCACTATGTCAAAATAAATAATTGCAATAACTGTACATTCAATATAAATATCAACAATAAATAGGTAGTGAAAATGGTTTATTTTTCATTCATGAAATAATCTTGACAAATACAACACGTGTAATTGATGATTATCGAAAATTCCTTCTCTTTTTCGAAACAAATTGTGTTGCTTTTAGGCAACCACACTCGCGCTATGCGCTCGTGCTCGTTTCCAAGCAACACAATTTGTTTCTCAAAATCGAAGGAATTTGTGTTTCGATAATCATCAATACACTTGTTGTATTACAAGCGAAAATATTCAACCCCCGTTGAAAGATAATATCTGAGGGATCAGTCTAAAACTCATGTGGTGCTAGCACTACAAGTATTCTAATCCACATGTTGAGTTTCACACTGGTTCATCGGATATTATCCTTAGGGAGGGGCGATATATTCTAGGACATATTGAAGCTTTGCCACTTACTTAGTTCAAATCGAGGCAAGTTTGGAAAGGGCAAAGAGGACAATATCCTTGTTTACTTCTCATTTCGACTCGTTATCACATGAAGGAAGTATGCTTTGTAGAATTGCAGCAAATAAATCGCTATGCCGTGGATTGGCTCAGATTGAGGGGGATACAGGTAAGTTTCTGAGATATATCATTCAATTGATATGGAATGGCATGATTCTTATCTCGTTATTAGATCGCGAAATTGGGAGCGAATTGCCGTTCGATAAAAAACAATGTGTCTACTTGACTTTGAAACATTATTTCATTTCGATATCAGACGACGGTGAAAATTTGTAGCCGGTTCTTGGATATCGTTCAGACAATTCAGACTCTGTCATCAAATACATCGTTTTTATAACAGCACCAGTAATGAACTACTCTGTATAAACCCCTTCCCTATGGAATGCCAATTGAATTTTTGACGTTTTGGTAAAAATCTATTCGGTCAGTAGTGACAGTTGAGGACTTTTTCCTCTATCTATGACAAGTTCATAGATGAATACAAAAATAAAGATCACAGGAAAGTGAGATATAACAAATTTAATAATGATGCAGACCACATCCTCATGAGAATGTAAGTATATTATCTTATTCTAGGTAGGATTATGCATGTGAGGAACATGATATGATATCATTTTATGCTCTCATCATAATAATCTCTGGAGGTATATTTTCAGAGTTTTTTTTGCATGTTCCATAAATCAGTTAATTACCAGTTGACTCTCGCAATCATCCACATGATCAACTCACACTCATTCACTTTTTGGAGAATATTCATACAATAATTTCTTATTAGCTACTAGTGACATTTCCTAGTAGGCAAGATAAAAACATGTTCCTTGACGTCGAACTCCTGCTTGATATTATTTTTTTTGTTTTTCTGCTGAGTGCATCTGCCCAACGCATCGACTTGCTCAGCAGAAGAGAGACGACTACCTATAAATTGTACATATTTCTTGCGTGTTCGTAGTGCTCTGATTTTAGAATTTATCACATTATCAATGTATTTCAAAATATTATTTTCAGCTACCATCAACTGCAGAAACTCATTCTAAGGGTTATTACGTACAATCAGGTGAACCAGGAATCAAATTCAGTATTTTCCAATGTGAATTGGGATGAAATTTCTATCAAGTGTCAATAGGTTTGAATATGCTTCACCGTGGCTTGGTTATTTTGATCTTAGTTTTTATGTACTTTCAATTGAATCTATTACTGAGTTTCAGTAGATCTTTTGAAAACTTAGATATCAACGACAGTGACGAAGCTATTTTAAGTATGATCCCAGCAGAACTTCACAAATTTTTATCATTGAAACCAACTAATTCCACCCAAACCCATAGTAACGGAAGTGACGATAAGATTTTTCACATAAGTACACTAAATATATCATATATCAAAGATAGAATTGCGCAGTATAATTTGCAGCAGAGGGTTCTGAATGAAAACAGTTTCCAATCACTTGAAAACAATTCCATCGTCATTGTTGTACAGGTAAATATTCAAAAAGAAGGAATGACGAAGTTTCCAATTTTTATATTTGTAGATTCATGATCGGATCAATTACCTCAGATATCTGATAGTTAGTCTAGCACAAGCACCTGGTATATCTCATACACTTCTCATTTTCTCACATGATTATTACGATGAACAAATGAACAGCCTAGTCCAAAGCATCGATTTTTGCAAAGTGATACAAATATTTTATCCTTATTCTATCCAAGCACATCCGAAAGAATTTCCTGGTGAAGATCCAAAAGATTGCCCTCGTGATATGAAAAAGGAACAGTGAGTATGAAAAATTGGGATGATGAAGTCTGTATCTTGTGATGACGTGTTTAAGAGCAGGCTGCTCCGTCTAAACTATACCTAGAATCATCTAGAAGTATTTGGAGTTCTACAAAATTACTCCTATCTGGAAATTTGTTCACAGAGGTTAAGATGGCGGCACAACTGAACTATAGGGGAAATGGATATCAACTCCGTTATTTCAAATTGAAAGCGATATATGTTGTTGCTTCTCAAGAATCCTTGTGTTATTTCAAGATAATCTTCAATAGCCTTTTCTGAAACTAACTAAACTAGGCTGTTCTCATAATATTTAGACGGAAAAAATATAGAGGGTCAGGTTCACTTTTTTTAAATAGAATGCCCTTTATGATAGCACATTTCATCAAGCATCCTTATGACCTTCAACAACTCCTATAATATTCTAGACTATATCTCCATCATTTCAAAGTTATTAATATTTTTGTCGAAATAATGTCATCTGCAGTTGCATACCGAAAAAAATCACTGTAGTTACAATTATGAAATTCAAGAAATTTATTCATAATATCATGTCTGGGGAGATGCATGATATTCCTGTAGAATTTTCATGCCCTCAAGTTATACAGGGTGGCTAAAAATGATTTTTCAATCCAGAAATTTTGGAAGTGATTTTTCTCGAGATTTTTAAATGGAACACCCCATATATTTTTAGGCCATTTGGTGTGCAATCGCTACACGAAAATTTTTCATCTAAACATTCATATTGATTTTCACAAATATTTTTGAATTATTGAACTTCGAAAATTTTTAGAGGCTGGCCATTTTCATCGATCTAGCTGTTATTGAAGAAACATCAAAAGTCCAAAGAATAATTTATCAAACTTGTTTTTTATTTGAAGAATTGATACCAGAATCGAAGCGAACAGAAAAAGTTCATATGCTATAGTTATTCAAAAAGTGAAAAAGAAGGAAATTCCCATTTTGCATAATTGTGAATTATTATCGTTGTTTTGTTTTTGATGTGCTAGGAATTTATGGAATACTTCAAAAATGGATTTGTTTTCTTTTTGTTTTACTTCGTGAATTACTAGCATATGAACTATATTTGATGTTTGTTTCAATTCTGGTTTCGATTCTTTCAATAAAAAAACAAGTTCACTAAATTACCAATTGAACTTTCAATGTTTGAATAACTGATGAGAGTGTGTATCGATGGAAATGGCCAATTTATAATTTTAGGGGTTTAATAAGTCAAAAATTGTTATGAATATCAATATGGATGTTGAGATTAGATAAGATAAGATGTTCGTGTCTCGAACTTTCACCAAATGGGGTGTTTCATTTGAAAATCACGAGAAAAATCACCCCGAAAAGTTCCGAATTGAAAAATCATTCTTATATAGCCACCCTGTATAAGTTGAGGGAATGAAAATTCAACAGGAATATCACACAAGCTTGTATCAAGAGATATTATGATTATTCTGTCTCAAATTCTATAATTGTGACTTCAGTGATTTTCTACAGATGAGATCATTTCAACAAAAAAAAAATGAATATATAACTTTGAAATTATCGATATATATTCAACAACATTATAGGAGCGAATGGAGGTCACAAGGATGATTGAAGAAATGTGCTAATATTGAGGGAGTTCCATTCAAAAAAAGTGATCCTGATCCTCCAGATTTTTTCTGGTGCTCATCAAGTTTCTAAGTATCATAGAACTCTAGCAATCGAGCTCTGACGCAATAACACATCACAGAAAACATTCGACAAAACACTCGTGTGGAATATTGCTTTTTCAACACTCGTATTGTAAGAGATCATTTTAGTGCTGTACAGAAGAAATGTAATAACGCCCTTTCTCCTGACGTGCATGGTCATTATCGCGAAGCCAAATTCACTCAAACCAAACACCATTGGTGGTGGAAAGCCAATCGTGTCTTCAAGCAACTCGAAGTCACAAGGAATCATAGAGGCTTGATCGTGATGCTAGAAGAAGATCACTATGTTGGCCGAGATTTCATTCATACGTTGAGACTCATGGAGAAAACATCTAAAGAATCGTGTAGCCATTGTAATGTTTTCTCTCTCGGAACGTATATGAAGACATACAACTACTATGCAAATTCCAAGAAGGTAAATTGAGGCTAAATGATGGTAATTTTCGTTGATTAACACATGATACTGCAGGTGGAAATTTCACCGTGGATTGGCGGCAAACACAATATGGGAATGGCATTCAATCGATCAACTTGGATGCAGATTGTGGACTGTGCAACCTTCTTCTGTGGATATGATGATTACAATTGGGACTGGTCTTTACAGCAAGTTTCTGAGAAATGTTTGAAGCAAAAACTTCATGCCATGGTTGCTGTCGCACCAAGAGTATTCCATATTGGGGAATGGTAATGTATTAGAGGTTTATTTCATCAATGTATTAACATTCTCACCCTGAGTATCCCTGGTAACCAACTCACCGAAGTATTGATTCACCAATGTTGACTTTACGAACGATGATTTTTCTCGTTATTTCAATTCGTGTGTAGAAATAATTACATGTTTTTCATTCCAGTGGATTCCACCATAGGAAAAATAATTGCAGATCGAATTCAGTGATTTCAAGAGTGCAGCAAGTGCTGAAACTTTCAAGACGATATTTTTACCCAGATCGTTTGATACTGACGTATTCCACAGTACCGAAAAAAACTGAACCAAGTAAAGGAAATGGTGGCTGGGGAGATAAACGAGATCATAAGTTATGCATGGGTATGACAGTAGGTTAATAATTATATCGTTCTTCATGAATATCATTATGATCTGTCTTAAAAAAATATATGTGTATCTCAATAGATTGTTAGGTTACATGAAATGGATTCATTTTATGCATAATTATAAAGAAATAGATCTCAGAAAACTTATACGAACCTGGATGTAACTTATCCTGTCATCGTCGTTCAGTGTACCGTCATAGTCAGAATAACCGTTTTCAGTTACTATCATTCTTGGATTGTTGTATTGGTTTTTGATCCACCTCAAGAGCTTCTGCATTCCCCATGGTGTGACCTGAATTAAAAATTGAAACATTCAATGTTCATGAGATTATAAAATCATGGTAATAACTTGAATAGTCTTGAGAATGACAAAAATTTCTACTGAAGGGTTTTTGATATGAATAATGCAATGAAACTAATACCAACTTTGAAGGAAACCGTATCAAACTACTTCTATATTAGTTTGATTTTGAAACATTCTACCCATAAAATGAATGTGTGTGATGTTCCGTGATATAGTAGATGATTCTCATAACTTGGAAGTGTTTTAGCACTATATGCTAGACTCGAATATCTGATGCCTTAAATAGTGTAATGTGTTCTTGAAGGTACTCCATGATGTGGATAAGCAATCAGTATTGAACTTGATTCTCGAATAGTGAGTAACAATCACTGTTATGAGATTACAGACCCAAACGATTTGATTAAACTTCAAGCTTTCAGAACATTGCATCAAAGTTAATTACATAAAGATTAATCAATGGGATTCGGAGTAAAGCAATCGATTGAAATTAGGAATATTAGTTTCTCAAGATCTTAGGATATTTCTTTCTTCGTCTCCATGAATGAGAATATCAATATTCAGTGAGAATAATTTTAGGAAGGAATTGGCTCCCGTTTTCAATACAAAGATGCATAAATACTTCTTTGTGAATTGTCATCGTTTGTGTCTATTGACACTCCATCAGGGGAGTTGATGAAGCAAATAAGTCACAAGAAATCTTCTCAGTCTATGTAATCCATATAATAATGGTAACACCCCTGTATTTTATGTAATCGTTGGGTTAGGATCCTAAAATTCACCAGAGCGAGAGATACACCAAAAATGCACTCTATGACCAAGTGGGGTCGTCATCTTCAGTGATATACACTGCTCACCAACAGCCATTCTGGAGTCACTCCAATTTCCGGAAAAATATATCAGGAGACAAAATAGGTTAGAATCACTTCGGCTTCAGAATCAGGACGCCTAATTCACTACCCTAATAGCACACAACGTCCTAGGGACGTCCCTATTTGGTACAATTCACGTCCGAATGTCCCGAACCAAAAATAAGTGTCCTTGGGACGTCCCATCCCGTACATCTCATGCAATGTCCGAGCAAGGACGTCCACGAAATGTCCCAGCTGGTACATCATTTCAAATGTCCTAAAAATAGCATCCCCCAGACGTCCCACGTGGTACATATTGTAGAATGTCCATGCAAGGGCGTCCTTGGCATGTCCCTGATGGGATATGATTTTAAACGTTCCTTTAGGGACATCCATCGGATGTCCCGAGTAGTACATATTCTGGCATGACTTCAGATCTTATATAATGTCCCTTCCAGGCAACCATAGAATGTCCCTGATGGTAAATTCTCTCAAATATCTCTGCACAGGCGCTCTTAATATTTCCAGGACCGTATAACAATCGAAATGTCCCTCAGGGACATCCTTCGAATGTCCCTTAGGGATATCCGTCGGATGTCCCTATTGGTACATGAACTGTACTTTCGAATGTCCTAGAAATAACGTCCTATGGACGTCTCAGTCGGTACTTTCAATATGTTGTCCCTGCGAGGACGTTTACTTACACCTCGCCGACGAATGATTGCTGGTGGGCTATAAGTACTCCCCGTCAATGTCCTTCACATAAGTCCATTGGACGTCTGTGGGAAACTTTTTGGGGACCTTCTACGGACCATCAACTCAACTGGATGTCCTAATCAGTTATGCAAGATCTGGACCTAGAGGGACCCAGAAAAATTCAAATTCAAGAATAATTCGTACGTCCCTGGGACATCCAATGGACATCCAATTGATATTGCTCAGCGTTGCTGATAGGTTGTCCTATGGATGTCCTAAGGATGTCCTCTGTAGTGCTCGATCAGGAATACTGTAGGATTTAGGTATTCGATAGTTGTCCCATGGACATCCCTCAAGGACGTCCCTAGTTGGTCCCCAAGTGGGATATTTGTGCGTCCCACAGACGTCCAATGGACGTCCACGGTACCAAATTCGAACGTCCTATGGACTGAATGTCCCGACAGGACGTCCTAAGGATATCCATGGGACATGACTGTGTTATTAGGGTAACTATTCATATTCAACTTTGTCTCACTTCTCATGGAAGCACCCCCGTATCTCACGTTATTATTGAGGTAGGGTCCTGAAATTTGCAGGAGGAAGGGAAAGTCCAGAGATGAAGTCAAATACGTTAGATACGGGGGTGCTTTCGGAAGAAGTGCGACAACATTTTAATTCTCAGAACTGAAAATTTTCCTGGAAAAATATATACAGTTAGTGAATTGGGTGTCCTGATTCCAAATCTGAAGTGATTTTCGAATAATTTTGACTCCTAATATCATTTTCCGGAAACTGAGAGGGTTCCATAGCTGTTGGCGAGCAGTGTATATCACTGAAGATGACCCAACTTGGTCATAGAGTGCATTTTTGGTATTTCTCTCGCTCCATCAAATTTCAAGATACTTACCCAACGATTACGTAAGATACAAGGGTGTTTCCATTAGAAATCGGTCACACTGTACATGAATATTGATTCCATTCGAACTTTTGAATGAACTCCATGGAAGTTGCACTTATTTGCAATAATATTATCAAAATGAGATCTATTACTACCTCAGTGGTATGTAATACTCTTATATATTATATATATTATATATTATATCTTATTATATAAATCTAAAAAATACAGGAACACCCTGTATATATTTTCTTTTCCGTTGAATGTTTGCGTATTTTTCACACAATGTTAATATTAGCCAATCGCGATCAGCAGTATATTTCAGCAAAGTGAGTTCCTGAATGGTCTTTTTGTAGTGAGGACATACGACTCATTAAATGTCAAAATATCACTGCGCTCAAAATATCTATCAGAAACCTGGAAAACTAATGCCATCGTCCTTATCAGAGGAATATTTGAAAAAAAAAGAATGAAGGTATATTGTAAAACATGGAAAACTGTGCATTTTTTTACGAAAATGTCTCTTTTCTCAACGTTATGAAGGAAATAAAAAAATCGTTCAAATCAAATCAAAAGAATCCGCGTGCATCAATCTGTTTATGAAAACGGTGAACAAATTACGTAATATACTATAACTGTTCTATCTAATTGAAATCAACAATTGAGTTGAAAAACTCATGAGAAGACTGCATTCAATCTTGACAGGTGTCATTCACGTGCCATAAGATTTTCTTCAGATTTTAAAATCATCGTTATGAATGCATGCGTCCTTACAACTTTCACCTGAGGATGCGAATATTTTCATCCTTCACAATATTGGCGTGTGTCTGAGTTCACTACTAGTAGTCCATATAACCATTAGCAAGATTTCAAATGTTCTAAGACTAATAATTATATTTTTTCTGTGACGCGAAAAAAGTTTGGCATTTCTTCTCTGTTGGCAGGTTATGAAATGTCAATTCTCATAAATTACTTTTTTCCCGAGGGAAAAAAGTGAGTACTTCTTTCCCGGATATATATCACATATATATATATATATATATACTGTTGATGGCTTTTGTTGTGCTATAGTTCCGAAAAATGAGTCAATAATACCGTCTCCGAGAAAGAACTGCAAGTCCTTTTATCTTCCATTCGACTTCGCGGTTACGTATATAACTAAACAACCACTAAATTCGCAATTTTTTGAAATCAAATCACAGAGTAAGACTGACAGAAGTGACAACAGATATTTGATTACTTCAAAAGAATGATGAAGATGCCCACAACTAACGCCACAACGCAGGTGTCCCTACTGTTAAAAACTCAAAATATCACGTCATTAATTTTCAGATTTCAAAATAATGTAAATACTTCTCGGTATTGATTCGTCCTTTCTTCTGTCACAGAAAAAATTAGTGTATTATACACAGGAAAATATTTGATTTTAGCTCACGGTTTTTTGTCTCCCTCCCTACGCGTCGGGAGACACCACAACCTGGAGCTAAAATCTACAACTTTTTTCCCTTGTATAATAAATAACTATTTCATCCATGAAGACAAGGAAGGTGAATACCAAAAGATGAATATTCCATCTCTTTTATTAATCTACAGGAAGAATGATAAATATGAATTCTCGTACTTACTACCAACCAAGGAGATGCGCCTTTTTTCCAGCTCTCGCTGTACCATACTTTGACTTCATCGTCATGATCAAATCCCATACCGTCTACGTCCTGGTTTTGCTTTGCCGCAACAAGAGAAGCTGAATACATGTTGACGCCTAAGAAGTCTGCAGTACCTTTTATGTACTCGATTTCTTTGGGCGTGAATTCGGGCAGCCGAGATTTCTGGAAACCTTGTGCCAGACTGCGTCTTTTAATGTGGCTTTTCATCACTTCTGGATAGTCTCCGTTGAATATGGGATTAGCATACAATCCGAACTGCAAGAATACATTCACGATTCAATTTGCCTGCTCAGACGAATACTAACATGAAAAATATATCAGTTAAAGGTGACCGCAGATATACAGTGTGTCCCACTTACCATGCTCACCATGGGTATCTTTTCAACGGTGAGAGATACGAGGTCGGTTGAATGACACTGAATGTGGAGTTTGTCAAGGCCAACTATAATGTGAAAAAATATTTTGATAAAATCTATTCGTTTTTGTTTTATACGCAAAAAACAGATTTTGATCATTTTCATGTCTCCTTCATAACTTGTTTATTTATGAAAATATCCAAATATGTATTGCACATTCTCATGGCAGTTTTTCAAAGTGATTTCGAAAAAAATATGAAATTTATACCAACTCTTCTAGAATTTGAGATATCAGCACCAACTTTAGTTTTTCAAATGTAGGTCATAGCTCACTATGACTTAGTTAGAAATAACTTCTTTATTCTCACAGATGATATGTCGCAGTAATATTTTTGTGCTATTTGGAAGCCGCCATCTTGAATCTATAAATTTTCACAAAAAATTCATGATCTCCGACCTCAAAAACCCCCACTTACCAATTTTGAATGGAATCCGACCAAATCTTGTCCGCCATCTTGGAGCAGCCATTTTTTTAAATTTCTGTCTGTAATCAAATGTTGCGAGTGAATTTTGACTCACTTCTGGCCGTCCTATAAACTTGAAATTTTGCAGATGTCCGTAAATCCGGTGACAATTCATTATGGAATTTTTGTTGAAAAAAAAATGGCTGCTCCAAGATGGCGGACATGATTTGGTCCGATTCCATTCAAAATTGGTAAGTGGGGATTTTTGAGGTCGTAGATCATGAGTGTTTTGTTGAAATTTGAAAATTCAAGATGGCGGTTTCCAAATAATTTTTTGTTCTTGTATAAATGACGATAACTCCATTGTTATCAACACAAAACTATTACTGCGACATATCGTCTGTAAGAGAAAAAAAAGTTATTTGTAACTAAGTCATAGTGAGCTATGACCTACTCTTGAAAAACTAAATTTGGTGCTGATATCTCAAATTCTAGAAGTGTTGGTATTTTCATATTTTTTTCGAAATCACTTCGAAAAACTGCCATGAGAATGTGAAATTCCTATTCGAATATTTTCATAAATAAACAAGTTATGAAGGAGACACGAAAATTATCAAAATCTGTTTTTTGCGTATAAAACAAAAACGAATAGATTTTATCAAAATATTTTTTCACATTATAGTTGGCCTTGACAAACTCCACATTTGGTGTCATTCAACCGACCTTGTATCTCTCACCGTTAGCAAGATACCCATGGTGAGCATGGTAAGTGGGACACACTGTATTCAGGAAGAGTCATCACTATTGCACAGATTAACAAACCTTTAATCTGTCACTATTGAGACATAGGCTAAGGGCGTCTTGTTTGGACTAACATAAATGGAGATAGGACCGAATGCGAGTGGGCCTAAAACTGGCCTCTGATTGGTTAGTCAAGTCGCGTGGTTTGTAGAAAAGTGGAAGGGTGGGGATGGACTATACTCCCCCAATTCCTACTGGTGTATACAGGGTGTTTTATAATTGAATGTCAATATTTGAAGAAGCAATTCTTGGGCCCATTCTAAGAAAAAAGTTTCATATGAACGAATGACCTAAAGGTCCTAACTTTTGAGATACAGAGTGGTAAAATTCTCAAAAAATCAATACTTTTTTATCAATATCTGTAATATCACTCCAGATACCCTGATGAAATTTGGCATACATGTACTATGTAGCAAGAGGCATCACAAAGTGATCCACATTCATTTTGGTTGCCACCAGTGGCGTTCGTATGGAATTTCACATACCTATTTTGGTAGACATTGATGGTACGCCACTGATTAATCTCGAAATTGAAATCATTCCTGAAATTTTCAATCATTTCTAAGCAAATCTGATCACAAATTTTTTTTCGAACTAATGCACGGTTTTCGCTTAAAAAAATAAAAAGCTTACAATATCACAATGCAGAGAAATATACTTTATTTTCAACATCAAATTTCAGAAATACAATCCATATTAGTATTTGATATTTTGGAATTATAACCTCTCATTGTAGTAGGCTATTATAATTTCTGTGAACTTTACCACCCTGTATTTCGAAAGTTAGGTAACCGTCCTAACTTCATATGGATTTTTCTTCTCAGAATTGGCCTAAGAATCGCCTCCTCGAATCTTGACATTCAATTATATGAAACTTCCTGTGTATTATAATTATATGACTCTCTATAACTTGTTTTTTCACGTTACCTAAACCAAAAAGACATCACCCCCATGTCAAAAAAAACTATCGACGCTCTTGTATAATCAGTAGTCTCTTCTGTTCTCTCGAGTGACTTTCCCAAAATTATAGTTTCTAGGAAGAAGTTTGATTGAGGCCGAGTTTGGTTAGATTTTGTGTAGGAAAAGTGTCTTCCCTTTTATGCTTATGCAGAGATGATATTTTTTGGCAACCTTCCGGGAAGTGCTCACTCTCCGGATGCGTTTCCTTTGAGGAAGTAGCCTTTTTCTGGCCTACTCCGGGAAGTGTACTTACTTCCCGAACTAGGCCAGGAACTATCACATCGTTGTTGTCACTGTAACTATGAAAATCTTGGTAGACATGGTTTTGATAATTGCAGATGATAATTACCAGGACTCGCCTACGGCTTGGCCTAAAATTTTGTCTACTCGTCCAAAAAAATAATATTTTCCGGACTTGTTACGTAAATTACTATTTCCTTCCGCGTCCTTTCGGCAAACAGAGTAACGGCTGAAAATGGAAATTACGCTGTTTTGCTGTTTGGCGGCCATTCGTGAAATGGCGTTTCAGGAAATGACAGAGTTCACAAACTGACGCCGGCATATAGATATACTCACTGTGAACTGTAGCTTAGTTTCGGATGCCTCTTGATCCTCTGAAGAGTTCGTGGCAGGTTCCCACCAATTTGAATCTATCACGATCCCCACTTGACCTGCAGAACAACATAATATTATGGGTATTTGAACTGTTTCAGTTTCAGTTTCAGTTTCAGTTTCAGTTTCAGTTTCAGTTTCAGTTTCAGTTTCAGTTTCAGTTTCAGTTTCAGTTTCAGTTTCAGTTTCAGTTTCAGTTTCAGTTTCAGTTTCAGTTTCAGTTTCAGTTTCAGTTTTCCATATTTCTTTATACTTCATGGGCCATGTTCATTTCTGATGGAAAAACATATATTTTTGTATCCATTACCCGAGCCATTACCAGAGCACTTCTGTCGTTAAGTTATTTTTATACAGGGTGATTCAGGTTTTGAGGCACATTTACTAGAATTGAAGATAGATCCCATCATTTTAATCGAAAAAGTTCATATAAACATTAGTCCGATCTCGTTCAGTAGCGGTGCTACAGGAAGTCAAAGTCTAATTATTTTTCTCTATTAATTGAAATATCTCTTTTAATTTTCAAGATATTATTTTGAAGTTTGGTGTGGTTGATACTTTCTAGATCATCATTTCAAGCCATTTGAAGATTTTCAAAATCTACAGGGTGATACGTTTATGGGGGTGGAGGCTTCTTTATCCCTCCCAAACTTCTTTGTAGTACGCTTCTGGCATTTTTTCGGGATCAAATTGTATGAATCGTTCAATTTAGGGTTTTTTTCACTCTCCATTTCCCCTCGAGAATCGTTATTCGTATAGCATAAAATAGATTTTAATCAGATCTAAGGAAATCGACTGAATTTTTGACAAGTTATTCACTGATGAAATTAAAATAGAACTGGCATCCCTGATCCTGCTGTTGTCAAATATTAATTATTCTCGAAATCTGAAAGATTTCACGTGTGAATAGGACGGTGATGTGTATATAAATGTTTGAGGTCGACGACGACGAAGAAACTGTAATATGCACCTCGTCGAAGAACTGTCTATATTGAATCGCCTGATTGCTTATAGACAGTTTTCCGTCCTTGGTACAGAAAAGACTATTGTTACAAGGATCTCGAAGCAGTACCTATGTATGGTATTAATGAAATTTACATCCATTACATTGTTATGTTGAATAAAACACAATTAACTTCCTTTTGTTACACAAAATAATAAAACATGAGTCGATAGAGGCTTCATTTCTCAGTTTTCACAAATTCGTATCACTGAAGTTAATAGAAATATATTCGGTGGAACAATAGTTATTTAACCAACTAGTGTATTAATGAGGGCGATTAATGATCGAGATATTTCAACGTGCGAGCGAAGCGAGTGCGTTAATGTTCGAGATCATTAATCGCCTTTTAATATACAAGTTGGTTACAAAACTTTTCCGTCGACTATATTTCTCATTTCTCCTGCAATGAAGAAAACTTGGTTCGCGAATTCATCATCCACCCGGAGACTGCTAAAAATCACCCAGTAGCCTTGTTACTGACATTAGTGTTATTTGACATTTGTCGAAATGATCAACATAGGAACTAAATTCCTTGTGTTAGAAAACAGGGATTAAAATCGTGTCAGATACTTGGAAAGGCAAACCCGTTAACGGAAAATCGTCGATGAAATCCATATTTTCGATTCAAATGCAGATTCCGCTAGTTATAGCATAAACAATGAATGCACGCGGTGTATGTTTGGTTGCCTATAAAACAATCGTGCATCAATAGACAAATCGTCTATTAATAGGGGTCATTAATGAACGATTCAATATACATTAAACTTAGTCGTTAATACGAGGTCGACGGAAAAATATAATTGAAGGACTTCAGTTGAATGAAATAATGAAGAATAATTCCTCATAGTACCTCAATCTCCCAGTCTTTTATTTTCATTTAGCTAAAGTTGCGGGATAGAATTATTTTATTCTGCAAGGAACTTCACAACTTAAAGAATGAATTCGACATGTTCTTGAGTTAAATGTGAATGTCATTTTACCTATGAACGTCAGGAAATGCTTCTCTCCCGATGGAGGAAGAAGATATTTCCAGATATTTGTTAAGTTGCTATGGTAACGATACAAAATGCAGGCTTCAAATGGGTCTACAATGTAAATATGCAGCAAAATTATCAGCATCACAAGAATTCGCGAAAATCACGAAGTGTGCGGCCTCTGGTGGCTAACTTCACAAGTCTTGCGAGTATGAACAACAATGACAACAAATAAGGCTACCATTGTTTTGCATGAGTTTCATGAATATGTGTTTTATTTGAAAATAATTTATTTGTTGGAGTGCATATACCAGAACCTTATTTTTCCCTGATGAAAAAACTCGAATTATTGCATGAACTTTTATTGTTTACAATGAAGAAACCAATACCTACCTTATAATAATATATTATACATTTTCTGAAGCACAATTAGAATCGTCATATAAATGTTGGTTGCAATGATTCGATCTTGAGAATAACTTCAAATCCTCAATTGTTGGAGATCCTTGTTGTATGTAAATCGATGATATTGTTCATTCTGAGCCCTCTCCAACCATATCTTCTTTTCCAACCTCCTCACTAGAATTCCATATCCTTCATAAAAGCCAGTGATATTTCTTGATGAATTCAATTATTTCTTCATACCTATACCATAATGTTGTAATAGCTGATTGCTTATATGGTTCCATTCCAGTCCATGCAAGTGTTGAGTGGACCATTCCGACCATTCAATATGTTTGAAAACTGTGGAATTGTAGTGTGATATCTATGATGAATACCACCATTGTCCACATCAAAATGGCAATTTCTCTGCACAAAAAGTTATTTTTTCTATGCTGGAAACCTTGTATTTCACGAAGTCAACTTATTATTCACTATTTTGCCAAATGATTTCGAAATAACCAATTTGCAATGAGTGCATACGGCAATGTTTTGGTTGTTCATACTCAGTTTGAAATTTGACGTTGATTTGACGTTTAATTGCGCCATCTATTGGTTCGTGATTTTCGCGAATAGAAACAGAAAATCTCTAACATTCAGAATGGTGCCCAGAATTTCGAATAACTCTTCCACAAACCTTTTTGTCTGGGTCTGAATTCCTCATCATAAATATGCCATGCCTTAGCGTGTGCCTTCAAGACGTTATGAGCACACCAATATTCCCCGATACCAGGAGATTTTATTCCGGGAGCGTTAGTTCCTACACCATATCCCTGCCAGCAGGTTTGTTTCGGCTCATTGAACGTCATCCAATACTTGACGTCAAGTCCAAAAAGTCGGAAACATAGTCTGGCGTAGTCGGCGTAAACGTCGATGATATTGCTACTTGGCCAACCACCTTCATCTTGTAAGGCTTGGGGAAGGTCCCAATGGTAAATCGTCACGAAAGGTTCGATGTTATTGGCTCGGAGTTCACTGATGAGGTTTTTGTAATATTCTACACCAGCTTCATTGATTTCATTGATATGACCTTCAAAAGATAAATTTATTCTATACACTAAACACTTGAATTTTGATACTACCAAGTGGTGAATTGATTATGATCAATGATGAAAAAATATAAAATCAATCTCGTGAAATATATTTTGACATTATTTATACAGGGTGAGTCATAACTATTGGGACAGAAAAGAAGATACACGGCGTTCCAATCGGAAAAGTATTGACATGACTATATACCCGCACCAAAAGTTAGTCCCTGACAAGGAATGTAATTTACCAGCAGCAACCATCTGACAGACCAGAGCACACTTATCGCAAATGAAATGATATTTGAAATCCTATGATGCTAGTTGGAACTGTTCGATTGCGTATTTCTCGAGAACGGATGAAAATATCGTGTTCAAGCTAGAGTACCAATATTACGTAGAAATTATGTTTATGTCATATTTTTTTACCGAAATCACTAAAAAGTTTGTCAAGAAAAGTTACCAGTCGAATTCATTATCAGATATCATTCACGTGGCACGGCCAGTAATAAACTGTAGAATAGACAAAGAATAATTTCCTTAGAAAACGGAAAAGAAACTTCAACGCCCTGTATCCTTTGCCACAGCCATATATCATCAAGGCATATTCGATTCTTTCGCCATATTTTGATTCGAACAATACGCCCATTGCCTGTGTCCCAATAATCGTTATTATACTCACCCTGTATAGTTGCCATATGATGGGTAGTAATTCTACAGATGAAAATACTAAAAAATGGTTCTTTCAACATGTGTCCGAGAATATTTCCTACGAGCCCTATACAGGGTGCTCTGATATCACATAGAAAGATTTGAACATTAATGCTATACAAGTTCATATATGATGGTTAAAAATCGATTAGTGGTTTGTTTCCTCTTATGATTAAAATGAGCTTGATAAATGAAATTTCAATTTGTTGAGAATATATCCGCAATAAAAACCGGTGATATTCCACGAGACGAATTCACGAGTGGGATCTTTTCACACATCAGAATAAAAAATGACCCTTTTCTCGGAAACGGTTCATTAAATGGAAAGGAGAGAATCATAATATGGTACTCAAAATGAGATATATTGTGAAATATAAAAGAAAGAGTATTCTTATATAGCATCGGTTACAACTTAGGCGAACTTCCTGTATGTGAATTCTTGTTTCCGTAATACGAAACGATTTGTAACATTCCAATTTGAATTAGCATTGAAAATTCATGATTACGAACGATTAGTGAATTCATATTATGCAAATTTATCCTTGTTGAAATTTGAAAAATGTGATAACGCGAAAAAAAGTTGCATACGCATCGTGTAGGAAGTCCCGAAATTATTAACTGAATATGGGGGGGGGGTATTTCCGAACAATTATCAAACGTAGGTTTTTTCGCAGACTTATTTTTGGTGTAACTTGTATCCACGATGAACTACTTTGCATTCAATCGTGGTGTGCACATGCGCTGTGGTGATCAAAAATACCCCCCTTTCTTTATCGCATGGTTGATTCATTGATCGATTGATTGATAGCAGAATGATCAGTCAGAGTTTGAAGCCCAAAACACTGCAGCCTTTGGGCCTATTGTATTCCTGATCATGCTGTTGACTTAGGTGAACAGGTTCGCTACCTTGATGAGGTTTAGCAGCCTCTTCACCAAATCATTCTTTGAAAATGCCTCTTGAGACTCTTGAGAGTTAACTGCTCCCAGAAGGTTGAATCTCCAACGCGCTAGTGCTTCGCACTACAATATTACATGGGTGGCAGTTTCCTCCTCCTCATTGCATAGTCTGCATATGGGTTCGTCTGTATAGTTGCCTATTTGATGCATATGTTTCCTCAAGGGGCAGTGACCGGTTATTAGTCCCGTCACTTGTTTGATCTGACTTCTGTTTAGGCTCAGAATGTCGTTAGTCACTGTTTTGGACAGTGTTCCAACCATCAGTTTGATGTGTCTTTGTCCTGGGACATTGTTCCAGTATGCCTGATGTCTTTCTTGCATCCACCTCGCCAGCCAGCCGCGTATCGAGGTTTTGGGGATACCGAACACAGGTTCCCGCCCCATAAACAACGTCGCAGAACCTTGCCTGGCAAGAGCGTCAGCTGCTTTGTTGCCTTCAATTCCCTTATGCCTTGGCACCCATTGAAGAAATCGCATGGTTAGTTGATAATTTCGGGATTTCCTATCCGAGGGCAGCGTATTTGCTAATGGGGAAGTTTCCTTCAGATGAATTTTCATAAAATAGGTTCGGAACTCTCCAGTGTTATGTCAACGCTGTACAGAATGGCGGCCTTGGGACGGCAAACTGTGAGGTACATTCTGAATCTAGTCTGCAAAATAGCTGATGGTGAAGAATATAGCTAGCAAATAGCTAACGAATAGCTATGAATCACTATCGGCATCTTTCAATGATAGTATCCTTCCTAATTTACTGTTATCGGTCAGAACAAAATGAAGCCGACCTCCATGACTCCTTTCCCTTGTTGTGCCTGTCAGTATTTTGCGTGGTGTGGACGGACTCGAAAGAACGAATTCATTAGCAAAAAAAATGACTGACAATAAGTTATGAATGATATATTGTAATATAACGATAGTGAAAAATAATAGATACTATCGCAATAAATCATAATTTATCTTTATTAGTTTTCAACTCAATTCAGCCAATGAGAAATTTATGGGAATTATACTTATCATCATCATAATACTTGAAAAAGTAGGATTGAAGAACCTTATATACCATTGCTGTTATGATATAGTTATCATGCATTCAAAGAACAATTTCTGGAAATCTAGACATATTGATGATGTCGGCAACGTCGTACTGGCACAGGGAATCGTATTTTAACTCTGTGTGAATGTGGATTTTCAGAAAGTACGTCACAGGAATGGTGAAGGATCCAAGTTCCTCTTTCATTTATTTTTTTCCCAAGTGAAATTTGATCTTACGAAAAGAAGAAAAAATACGTATATATTAGTTTTTTACAAACTTCACAGTGAAATAGAAAACTCAAGATAGGAAACTTTCCCATGCGTTTAGTAATCGTTCGATCATCAATTTTCAATGCAATATTTCCAAAACTCTCAGTTTTCTAGAATATCTTCGACTTTCTAAACACAAACTCATAAATTATTATTCCGTGAGCGAAATAAAATGCAACATTTGATATTTTGAATTGCTATAACACCTATACAGAGTGTTTCCGATATTAGGGCGATACATGAAATGAGACACGATACACTCAGAAAAATTGTCGGTAGTGAATACCAAACGTTGAGTAAAATAGGCACCAGTCACTACATTCATCAAATAATGTCACAAGAAAATTGTATCATACTAGGTATAAAATAGGTATAATACTATTTTGTAGTCGTGATATTTGATAATATAGTGAATTATTATTTCATTTTGTAGTGGTATTATGAGGTGAATGTAGACTGGTGCCCATTTCATTCAACGTTTGGTATCTACTACCGACTATTTTTAAATCACAAGAAGAAAGAAATGAACGTCCGGCAACATTGCAAAAGTAATTGATTGTTCCAGTGCTTGTGATCTCGTATGATTCTCAAAAGTTTGAGGCAAATTTTGAAACTCAATATCATCCAAAATATATTTAATTTTGACAAAAATGTATTTCCTCATTTCGTTTTGTTCTCTCGTCTCCTATCATCGATGTCATCGATCGCCCCAATTTTGGAAACTCCCAGTATACAAACCATTAGGTAGAAGTCTTGCCCAAGCAATGGAAAACCTGTAATGCGTCACATTTAGGTTTTTCAATAAAGCTACATCTTCTTTGTAGTTGTGGTAGGAATTGCAGGTTGTGTCTCCATTATCACCATTGAGGGAGTAGGTTCTGTTTGTGTGGAGGAGGTAATCCCAGATATTTTCTCCTTTTCCGTCTTCATTCCATGCACCTGCGAATAAATTGAATGATACTTATAATAATTGTTGAGTTTACAAGGTTATCAAATCAGCAAGGTCTCTCGCTAGTCTGAAGATATGGGGGAATATTAACCGAATATACATTAATTTCAGACCAGCACCATACAAAATATCAGTGTGACGGCATAGAAATAATTTCCTAAAACCCTAAAACAAGTCGATTCAGGTTTTTGAAAACACACTCGGTGACATAAAAAACCCTCTCCTTCACGCTCCTCAACCCCATTGGACGCATGCATAGAATTCAAGCAAGTTGATATGACTGTATAGACAATTGAATACACTTCAATACAAGATATCCCCCTTCCCCTTATTCCATCAAAAAATTGGGAGGGTCGTTGTCACGTTGAGGGGGGTGAAGAAAGGGGTATTTTTTTCATGTCACATAGTGTCCTTACAAAAACGTGAATCCACGTATTTCAGGGTTCTTCTTGAAAATGGATAATGATGGAGAATATTGATTTATCCGTTACATAAGGTACGCTTTATCATCATCGTTGCAAATTCAGTTTTGATCACTATTATAATAGCGATAGAAAACTCGAAAATGTCAGATATGTTATCAATTGATATCAGTGAAAATATCGTGTATAACAACAACAATAACAGTCCATATAAATCTCATACTTATGAAAAAGTTGAACCTCTATAGAATATATCAATTCCGCATGATGAAAATTAGGGTAATTGCACAGGAAGAAAAGATCTGATATTATAATTGAAACGGGTTCTGTAACGGATTTGACAAAACATTACTTCAATGTAACAGAATTTCTTTATCATTAACATGATTTTTTTCTCGAAAAAGGAAGAGTTGTAGTGTGTGTTTTCGTTTTGATATAATTTTAATACCGGGTGACCAGTTGTATTTTGACCCATTTCAAATGCTCATATATCTCTGAAACCATTCAAGTTATCGTTGTGCGGTTTGGACTAGTCGGTTTTGATGTTTCTCAATTTTTTTTGACGTGTTCATCTTCTCACTTGAACTTCTGGTTCTACCGGCAACAAACAAGCAATAATCCAGGTATGCAATCACCCTGTATATTTTTGCACATTCAGAAAGACTGGTCATTTCTCTATCTAACAATGTATTACGAGTTATGTTCTCCTAGAAAACTATTAGAGTTATAACTCTTTGAAACAACTACTGCTTGTGGAATGGTTTAATGAGATTATGCAATGTTATCAAAGTTGCCCTATACCTGAAAATGGCTTGTTTGTTTCCGGTAGAACCAGAAGTTCAGGTGAAAAGGTGAACCAGTCAAAAAACTTGAAGAATATCAAAATAGAGGAGTCCAAACCGCACAACGATAATTTGAATAGTTTCGGAGATATGAGCAGTTGGAATGGGTCAGAATATAACTGGTCACCCGGTATCATTCATATAATGTAATATGTAATATGTATGTAATTTCATGTAAAAATAGAGAGAATACTGTTAATATCATTGATCTTTTGGTGGCCGTTTAGTTCAATAGCAAACGAGATTTCTCTACTAATAACACACTGAAAAATTACATTGACATTACCAAAAAATTAATATTGGTTGGGGGTGTCGTGATTTCTTCACGTATGTTATTTTGGCGTGATCACGACTTTGGGTTTTGTTGTAGCAATTATTATTTGTTGATTTTGTAGATTGATTTGATCTGATTTGTCGCATGATACACTCATAGTAAGGTGATCTTCGTCTGTGAATAAGTGGACTGTTAACATTGCAGAAGTCGCAAAGAGCGTAATTATTGACGTAAAATATCGGTCTGTAATGTCAGACTCTTCACTAAGACAGTTCTTCGTGGAGTTCCTGATTCCTCTTAGAAAACTATATATATTTTATTTCCACCACTAACACTTATACCATTCATTAATCTGAATACCATACAACACATTCTGAAACACATATATACTCAAACTGAATTAAATATTATAATATCGGAATTTCATTACATCAAACTGATTTTCCAAAATATACTCAATTCATACTGCCTGAATTTCAACTGAAAAATGAGTAATTATTTATATTAATACCAACTTATTTTACCTTCTATCTGATATGAAGAAGTTGCAGCTCCAAACATAAAATCTGCTGGAAACTTTTTATTGTTCAATGCAGCATAGCTGAAACACATAGGGTTGAGCTTCGATATAAAGAACTTTGTTGGGAACTCACCATGATGCTAATGAGCATAAAATATATAGAAACTTCATCATTCACCTCTCTGAAAATAAGGACTTGGCGATCTCTGTAATAATCACAAATTTTCAATTGATCCAATGGTATTTATCAATACATTATCACTTTCTGAGTGTTTTGATGATCGATGCTATAGATAAGTTTGATATAAAAAATATGTACTTGAGCATTGAAGATTACCTCTTCGTTATAGCAATGTACAGGGTGTTCCGTTTTCGATACCTTCATGTGCGGTATCTCAGTTATCTTTAGGGATATCTATACGAAGTTCTCTGCGAAAATGTCGAATTAAATCTTTATCCCACAGCGAACTTCACGCATGATCCAGTGGTGCACTGAAATTTTTTTTCGAGGTATGCTTATGCAGATACGACTGAAAATTATGATTTGAATTTCAATTGGGGGCTATTGAGTTTCCATATAGAAAAAATCTCAATTGAAGAAAAATTTCATTCGATTTCTCCATGAAGAGGACAGAAACAATACCAACACCACTTCAATTACTGAAAACACACAAAACTTAGATACCTGATAGCAACAAAAAAATAATAATGATCCATTTAATTGTCCAAAATGATATCCGTTTCTCCTCACTATTGACACACTTTCTCAATTTTGAATGCATTAAGACGTAAAATGGACATCAATTTGAACAATTCAATGAATAGGTTACTGAAAATTTTCGAAATTGTATCAGTCAATATTTATTCAGGTGCATATCCTACATTATGAACTATTTATTTGTTGTTATCAGGTATCTGAGTTCAGTGATTTGTTAGTTGATCAATTTCATTTTTCATGGAGGAATCAAGAGAAATATTTCTCCAATTGGAACATTCTCTATATAAAAAATCCATAGCCACATAATTATCAAAATTCAATGTTTTGGTGATTTCGGAGCTTCTTCGAAAATTTCATATCACATTATAATAAATATCATTCTCGAGGGAAAATGATGGGGAACTCAATGACCTTATAAGATACAGATTTTTTTATTTGAAAAATGATAAGTTTGAGTCGTGTCTGTAAAACCATAGCCTGAAAAATGATTGACTGCGCTACTGGATTCTTCGTAAAATTTTCTATGGGGAATGATTTTAATTCGACACTTTTGCTGAGAAACTTCGTAGATATAGAAGGGGTTCAAGGAGTATGAATTTTCAAAATCGCCCTGTATCTCATGAACTGAAACAGTTATGCAAAATCTTATCAGGCCATCTTTAGTTTCACAAAACAGTGGCACCAGGACCGCGAAAACCGCAAGGTTGTATCTCCAAAGATAAATGAGATATCACGCGAAATCATTGCAAACGGGACACACTGTACTGAGCTTTCTACTTTGTGAATTTGTATATCGCTACTTCGAAGTACTTAGTGGATTTTACCGAGGCACTTTACCTGCATCCATTATATCACCTTCTCATCAATCATCATAAATCAAATCTAGGTAAAAATGTGTATTGAAAATGGAGATACCACAGTGATGTTCTCATAAGTAATATCAAGTTGTTCTGAATATTTGAGATTATTCTGTCGCTTCATTGTTCACGAAATTGTGTTGCTGAGTCCTTCAAGACAAGTATGGTATATTATACTGTAAGGCAACACAATTGATTTTCCAATGAAATACTATATTATGAGAAGAGATTCAGAACAGTGTGGTATTTTACTAGACTATGTTCACGTTCACGAAGTATAAGAAGCGCATTTATTAGAAATGAGCAATCCATTCTGACAACTACTAATTATTTTATGTCAAACTGGCATACTTTGCTTTGGTATCCCTGGTAACATCGTTGAGAACACCAATGCTGATAGACCAATCAGAATTGAAATACAGCTGTTGTTGTAGCGACTAGTCCGCACTCATCACATAATCTGACCAATCACAAGCCAGAGAAAACCTGTGAATATCGCAGAAATATTAGCTGTCTTTCAATGGGCTCCTATCACAAAATATTTTTATTTCATAATTCGATAGAACTCACCCAAACTAGCTCATCGCCGCAAACCGTTTCTTGCTGTGAGCTCCCTACGTTTTATAAAAAATTATTGAAATTCCCGATTTTTCGGACCTCTGAAAATGAGGCGGTGATGTGACGTCAAAACCCTAATACTGAAACAAGACTATTCCATACAGAGATGAATGATACATGATTTCTGACAGAGTGAATTGAAACGGTGTAAACACTTTGTTCATAGATTAACGACTCCCCTTGACTAGAGTTAGACAGCTAATTTCGAATCCTACTAAAAGTTATTATTCATAATTCACCAATTTGAGTAGATTTCCTCAAAAATATAATCAAATCAAAACAAAGTTGGTAAAGTGAGTCAACTAAAGATACATGGTGTAAAGATGCGTTAACTATGGCATATGGTCTGAATTTGGTCAAATCGCCTTGGTAAGCAAACCAAATATCCATACGGTATAAACGTGTCCATTATATCAGTTGCCTTAGTCTCCGTCGGGCATTTGGTATTTTCTATGGCGACATGAGTTTTCTTCGTCATAAGAGGGTCCGTTTTTAGTAGGTACTATTATTTATGTTCAAAAATAAAACATTCCAGTACATTTTTCGATCGAATTATGTCGTCAATTATTATTTATGTATAAAAGGATCATTATAAACATGGTTTGAGTTAAAAGTTCTACTAAGGTGTACACGCCCATTAAGATTGGTCTATCAGTGTTGATATTTTCAACGATGTAACCATGGATAGCAAAGTATGTCAGCTTAGCATACAATTATCATGGCTGTATCAGAATGAATCACTCATTTATAATGAATGCTATGTATGCTTTCGTGAACATGAATTGGTCTAGGAAAATACCACTCTCTTCTAAATATCTCCTCATAATAATTCTGTCTTTCATTATAAACTCAATTAGGGACAGAACTATCTCGAATATCCATAACACAAGTTATCTTTGGGTTGTGATTGGCCATTGAAATAGTCCTCAAGTAATGAAAGGAGATTGGAATATTGTACAGAGGCAGATGAAATACGACTGGATCAGGTAAGACGAGAATGTGAAGTCGAAGAAACATTATAACATACAACTGAGTACTAATGCAGATAATAATTGCACTCGTGAATTCACACACTGATCTCTAAAATGCATCTCTAGAATGAAAAATGTGTTTTACAGCTCTTGTTATTTAATTATACCATATCACGTCAACATATGACCTTTCATTCGATTGCAAAACCTAATAAAATTCCTTGGTTGGTATTACACTCTTCTGGAAGGCATTGGAAGGTATCCTTGACAAACGATTAATGGAGAAGTAACCTGCTTTCCTTTAATCAACGAATGATTGATTTAAACCAATGAAGGCGGCGCTTTTCCTGTATAGAATCCTATTTTATTCATATCAATCGATAACGATTCGTGAACACCTACTTGCTTATACTCCTATATAGATGTCGCCATCAGTTGAGGCATTACAAGGTTGGTAAACTTGATGAGTTATTAGTAACGGAAGGTTGCCTCGATCAGCACACGAATAATCAATTCTACCAACCTTGGAGGCATACGAGATTTTCAAGGTTGGTGAAACTGATGATTTCAATTCAGATAGGAGGTTGCCACGATGAAATAACGCGATGAGGGAGTAGTTTTGGAGTTATAGAATTATATTTTTCACAACTGTGCATTCATTCATATGAACCAAACACATATAGATCATATCAATGAAGTTCAATAGTTGAACATGATTTTTTCATCGATTTTATGATTCAGGTTGGAGTCTTAGTAAACACAAACATCCCTGAGATGTCACATGTGTCGCTAGGTAGCAATGCGAATTACAAGGAAACATCATTGGATTTGCCATGATAAACACATATTATTTTATGAAAAGAAGAAGTCTCATTTTGATACCAACAATACTTCTTTGAAATATTCACATTGAATTTGGAATCCCTCTGTATATAAATATAAAACACAACAGGGTGTTGGGTGACCCATTTGAAAAAATGAATCTGTTGTCTCACACCCCGCCTTCAGGAATCACCCTGTAAAACTTCTGATAAGACAGTGAGAAGGAATCAATATGACGTGAATATATAGGGGTTGATTTGATAAATAACATAATATTTATCTTGAGCCTGTATTTCAATACATTTCAATAAAAATTGTGGGCGAGTCTATAAATAATGTTGGTAAATCATTGCTTTTTTTATTTCTTTACACGTTGACCTTACAACCACTATTATTCTGCTAATAGTTCCTGCTTCATAGAGGCCTTTCACTATTAGTCAGTGAGCCTTATATTTATCATTTTTAGAACATGGAATTTATTCATATTATGCATCAGATTATTTCGAATGGAGCCTTTATCTCATGATATTTCACGACTGTAGTATATGTTTCTTATCATTTATCAATGGGATTATTGCAATCTGTTTTAGTATGGTTATTACAATGTTCAGGGTGATTGTTTATATTTTACCCGAAAGCTTTCTCAGTTACTATTGATCAAACAGAAACGTCTAAATGGTAAAGAATTTTTTTCAAAAAATCATTGTGAACCTCGAAATTTCACGTAAAAGGCATTTTTCGTAAGAATCACCATTAAGATATCACGTTTCTTCAATTGGTAAAGTCTCAATTATATATTTATACTTTATAGAGGCTATCTTTGTCAGCTTTCGAAGAATATATGGAATTATGTAGAATGTTTAGGATCATCATCACCCTGTACCTTCCTTTTAATATCTGAAAGTAATGTCATCATCAACATATTAAGGCGCCTGTTATTTCCTTCTTCTAATTTTGTTGGAAGTTTTTCTCGTTATATCAATTTGTGAAATAGTGATTTGATGAATGCATGATGAAAGTACACGATAAAACCATTCGAATCCATGGGGGTTTTGTTCATAACCTCAATTAGAGTTCTTCTACTTCCTTGGCTTCCTTCGGTTGATGACACGTTATGCCATGGAACGTCTTTCTAAGACATCCATAGGCACGAAATCCGTCACATCCTCAGTATGTCATTGAAAGAACTAATCTGGGACAGCTAGGGCGGTAAATCTACGCCTGATAATGTTC